TGTGTGTGTGTGTGTGTGTGTGTGTGTGTGTGTGTGTGTGTGTGTGTGTGTATTTTAACCCTCAAGATGGGGAGTGAAAATAACAAGGCTGTGTTCAGAATCAACCTATCACAAGTAAGAGTACAATCTAAACTGAGTACACTCACCACAGTTGTCATTGGTCATGACTTTTAAATTCTGATTTGTCAGTTCTAAAGAAAACGAGTGAGTCAGACCAAGAGTCTCTACATTTCGGAAGCAGTCTACAGCTCTTGGACGTGTAATGTTCCACAATGCAGCACAACAGGGAAACTCACACTGTACTGTGTTTGTGGCGCAACACCAAACAACCATGGGGACAGGCAAACAGAAAGCAGGAAGCGCAGAGACAGAAGCCTGTGGTGCTTACCAGTAGCAAAATGACATGGCAGGGAAGTCAAAGGCAGTTTGAGTCAAGAACACGAGATTAATCCAAGGAGAATCATGGAGAGTCTTGCATGGGCGCAGAAGAACTATCTGGCAATGACATAATTAGTTAACAGCAGAGGCCTGAATCATAGTTGATTGTTGAGTTTAAGTGCATCCTTGTGAGCAGCGTTTATATATATCACAAAAACCTAGAATTTGGACATGGGGTGTATGGGCATGTTTTGGTACATACAGTGTCTCAACAAAGGTAAAAGCGGGGCCCTGCCTTAGTCATATTAGCAGCAATAGTAGAGAACATAATGTAATATTTTCCTTTGGGATAATAATACTGTATGTCAGAAAATATCCCTCAGACTTTAGCGATGTTAATGGATCAACAAAGCGATGCCAGGGAAATGCTTTAGGCATACTGAGCTTGGCCATGCAAATTTAAAAGAGACTTTTAGGAGTTGTGGGTCATGCCGAGCTATTGCAAGGGATTGCCAGAGTGAAAACATAGTGCTATAAATGTGAATAATCTCCCCCTTGATGTTGTTTTGTCTCTCGTTGTCCGTTCATCATCTGCTCTTCTACAAGGCTTCCTCTTCAGGCATCTGTCTTGTTTCACTAATGCTAACATTAACACTCTCGTCTTCAGGGGGAGAAGTATGATGGGAGGAAAGCGGACGTCTGGAGCTGTGGGGTCATTCTTTTTGCCCTATTGGTGGTGAGTCTACCAACTTGTTCTTTGCGAACTGAAGCTGTCTGGTTGCACCGATTTGGACAATATCGTGTCACAGTTACGATGCTCGTTGTTTACTTGAGGCAGACTCAAGTTGGATAAGAAAGTGTAAGTGTCCTTGATTGCAGTCGCATGGGTCAGAGAATTAATGTCGCATTGCTCAAACACCCTCAAGCTAATTTTGCATCCCAAGACTCATTGCAGGACTCATAAGAGTGCCTTTCTGTCCAGCTTCATGATGTATGTGCTCTCCCAGACATTCGGCCCCGCAGATCTATTTCATCAACAGCTGGGCTTTAGTTCCCGCATACTCCTTCTGCATGAATAATTAATGCAGTGAAACTGCAAGAGGACAGCTCAAAATGAACACCATTGCCGCCAGAGTGACTCTGGTCAAAGACGTCTTTGTGTTTTTTGGGTTTATTCTCCTCATTCGTGCGTGTATGTGCACACGTGTCTCACCCCGGCATTGGAGCATTGGATTAATCTTACAGAATCGAACATTGTCTTAACAAAGCAAGTTTTGGCCCATCACTTGCTCTCCACCTTTGATCCAATGTGGCTGCACATTGCGAGATTTTTGTGGATGTATGTGGCGTTCTCCGGTCGTTAGACCAAGCTCAGAACATCGCTTACATATAAGCACGCCCATGTTACTCCACCACTCCACATTCATCGGCGTGTTTCTTTTAATTGTCTTCATTTTTTTCACCACCATCTCTCCACCCTGCGGAGTTTGCTGTTCATCACGCAGCCACATCTGTGGGATGTCAGCTCACTCTGATAAATGGCTTTGATAATGCTTAATGAACAAGGTAAATGCCAAAGTGGGGTAATTATTAGAAATGCCCTTGTTTTTATGTTACTGCTGATGATTATTTATTTTTGCATCATTGCTGAAGAGCAGATTGTTCCCATTTGAGAATTTAGAAGATGAGAGAGAGAGAGAGAGAGAGAGAGAGAGAGAATGTATTAAATTACAAAGGATTAAAAGCGGAATTATGTTTTTATTTCACAGAGCCAACCTATTAAATTTGCCATTAAATCAAGTGAGAATAAATTCTTCTGCAATATTCAATTACAACCTCCACACATTTCTCCTTTTCCAATTTCAGGGAGCATTGCCATTTGATGACGACAACCTGAGGAATCTGCTGGAGAAAGTGAAGTTAGGAGTGTTCCACATGCCCCACTTTATCCCTCCAGACTGTCAGAACCTCCTGCGGGGCATGATCGAAGTGGATGCCTCCAAAAGACTAACGGTCAGTGACGTGAAGAGGCTAGGCTGCGTGAGCACCTTTGCTTTGGGCTGCTGTTTACCTGTCAGCCAATGGCATGTTTGTAAACAAAACAATGGTAGGGAGCACATAGTATGAAAACTTCTGGATTTTCTCTTAGAACCGGATGCACTTTTTAACTTCCTTGTTTTATTTTTTATTTTTTTCAAACCCAGGCAGTGTTAGAATCTACAACCACTTTTGATCACTATTGTGCTGCAATGTTGTAAGTGGGCATTGTTGGATCCTAGCTGAAACAACATTCCTGTGGTAAAAAAGGCAAAAAGGGGATTTATGTGGGCATCAGTGAGAACAACCGATCAGAGCTGTCCAGTGTCGCTGCCGATATATCTCTCCTGCCAAGTCTTTCCGTCACTTTTGTCTCATTTGCTTTTTTCTTTCCTTCCAAACCTCTGTTGCTCATCCCACTGTGCAATGCTTGACCCTTTCTACACAGCGTCTGATCATTTTGGAAAGGTAGATGGATGATGTGAGGGGAAAGAGTCAGCGGGGAGAGTTTGGACAAAGGCAGCTCAGAAAATTTTGATCTGCTTCCCTTCACTGTAAATGCTTCAGAATCCTTACACACACACACACACACACACACACACACACACACACACACACACACACACACACACACACACACACACACACACACACACACACACATTTTGCTGTATTTCATTGTACAACCTGAATTCCACTGCAGTTGGGACATGATGTTAAACATAGGTAAGAACATAATAGAATGATTTTCAAATCATGTTCAACCTATATTTAATTGAATACACTCCAAATAGAAGATATTTAGTGTTCAAACTGATCACCTTTATTGTTTTTAGCAAATGAGCATTAACTTCGAATTCCATGGCTGTAATGCGTTTCAAAAAGCTGGGACAGGTGGCAAAAAAGCTCAGCAAACACCTGTTTGGAACATCCCATGGGTGAACTGGCTAACTGAGAACAGGTGGGTGCCATTATTGGGTATAAAAGGAGCTTCCCTGAATTGTGTGGCCATTCACAAGCAAAGATGGGTTGAGCTTCACCTCTTTGTGATCAACTGCCGGAGAAAATAGTTGTCAGCCAGTTGCGAGTCACAAAAAGACAAAATAACTAACTTCCATTAAACTCACACGCATGTTCTTGAAATAAAATATACAACACAAAGAAACATTCCAACCGTGCATTAGATATACTAACCACAATGCTACTTGTTCATTTTACTCAATCCAAGTCATTTTACTACGAATGGTCAGGAGCTACCAGTCAAATGTTGGAATGATTTCATAACATGAGCGAGGCTGTCCAAACATTTCTCTGCATATGTTACAAATGTCCATATTATCTTTGTTTTTAGTAAATATGGTACCTGTGTCTCGTAATTGATTGACAGACAAAAAAAAACATTTCAAACAAATGAAAAAGATGCACATATTGAAGAAGTCTAAATGTGTCTTGGTCAGTCTCCGACATGTTTTATTTTATGTCATTATATTTTGTAGTGAAACTCTTCATGGGTTTTTAAGCAGAAAATTAGCAAACACACAAATTATATCCATGCCATTTGTCTGAATAGAATGCTTACATTAAGCACAATACATATCAATGTGCATATCATCGAACATAAAATCAATCTATGACCACTCCATTTGACAAGATATTTGTAGATTTGGATTATTTGGTATTATTTTTTTCTGATTCCCAATCACATGATTGGAGCAGGATATCCCTACTACAAAACATTTGAAGTTTCAGCCATCAAAAACACATTTCATAATCATCAACTGCCAAACGGCACACAACTAGAGTTTTGCGTGATTTTTGCGCCGTGATTAGAAGTTCTCTCGCATGTAATTGCAATGACTACTTGGTGTTCGCGAGGTGTGATGTCCTCACTACAGCTGAGCAATCCTCTGAGGAGGAGGTCTGAAGGCAGGAGACAGACAGCATCTCAATGCTCTTTGGCTGCCTCTCAAATTTAGACAACAACCATGTGAATGGAAATGTATTCATTAACAGTGCATTTCCTGCCCGCTTGTCTGTGTTTGTTTGGCACTGAGTGATTCGCAGAGAGTTGATGCTTCATCATCATTTGGAGTAAGCAGTCCAATTTCACCAGTCTGTCAGTGATCATGCATTTGCTGTAACAAGATGGCTATTTATGCTGTCTCTTGATGATATTCTTCTACAATTCAGTATGGAATTATAGCACAAAATACTGTAATTGGTCGGAATACAAGAGTACGATCCACTTTGCTAACTCGTGTTCATAGAGATTATTTTCACAAAGTTGCACCACTGCAAGGAGAAAATGCTCATTTTCAGGAGAGCCACAACAATCACTGAGCACCATTTAAAAGTGTGTGACGTGGTGGTATAATCAGAAACATGAGAGGCTCCAATTCTTTAGTATGCTGCACGGACACTAGATTTCTTTTCTTTTTTTTTTGCCTGTGCTACATAAGGACAGGTCACCTTGAGGACCCTTAATAGTTATGTCAGCCAGTCCGTTACTAAGTGCGGCACCCAGGCCGAGCCACTGGGAGAGAATATGCTACCTCTCTCCCCTCCCACCCCATCTCTTTCGTGCAGGAGAGGTCGAAACAGCTTCGGGGATGTGTTGTGACCTCACAGAAAGTCAAATAGCCCAACTCCATCAAGTGTTCTTGCTGTTCTGTCGTTAGTGGCCATTCCACAGTGGGAAGCAGTCAGAATGACAACCCAAAAGTTGATGTTAACGTTCATAGTAGAATCAAAGTGACAGGGTGTTGAGAGCAAAATTAATGCTGTGCTCCATGCTTAGCTCTCAGCACTCTTGTGCCGGAGCAGCATTTTAATTCAAGAATCAAGCAGTGATTGGCCTGGATCCCCTTGCACTCTCCAACCTCTGTGCCCCAAGAACCCAGTTATTTGCAGAAAAGATACATTTTCGGTTTAGACTGACTAATTGTATACTTTCAACTTTGTGGAAACAATTTCTGGAATTCTTTATTATGACCACACATTTAAACACATGAAAATACACTTTTAAAGTCTGCCTTAGTGCCTGTTCTCCCTCGCACTCACACAGTTCTCCATACAGTACAAGAAGCAGAGCATCCTATCGTCAAGATATTTTTGGGTTTTTGTTTTTTTATTTGGTCACTCCCAGTTGAAATTTATTATAAAGCAAACGAGAATGAAACATTGAATATTTAAACAAGGACAACATGTCAACCCCACAAAAGCAAGGTCAACAGTCGATACCATTTCTTAAAAACTAGCATGCAAGGAGAGCGTTCGCATACAACCTTAAGTTGTCAAGGCAAGGTCACACACCCGAGCAGGCAGATGTCTTCTGCCTCATGCAACTGGCTCTCCACATCCCAACCACCCAACCACAGCTATCTTGCTCTGTCTCTCTGAATAAAACATCAGAAAGAGAAAAGAGACACGAGATCTACTTAGTTATCCTCACATTAAAACAAAAGTTTATATGAGGCTATAATTAACATAGATCACGTTTGGTAAGTGCGGAGAAATATATTTTATGTTCATCCAAACTGACTGAGTTTCTTCCTTAACAAAAGTCTGCTGACATCAAAGCACTACTTTCACACACCTGGAACAGTAACACAAATCAATAGAGCATACTCACAAGCATCTATTCTCTTTGCTCAATTGCGGAACTCCCTGGAACAGGTACTTTTACTTGAGCAATTCAGGACCTTCTCTGCCTCTTCTTGCTGTTAAGCTCGCTTTCCAGTCGACCTCAGTGCTCTCTGGCATGTTGCTGAGCAACATAATCCTACACTTTAGGCGTACAACTCTACCCTTATATTTAAACACTCATGAAAACTATCCCTTAGAAACAGGGGCGGATGCTTCCGTCAGCATTTCAGGCCGGCCCAATCTGTCCAAGTTGTCGCCAACAGCCAAAAGGCGTCAGGAACGGACTTACTGGTACTACGTCACTCACAGGTGCCGTACACCTGACACGCAGCCGATCACAGAAAACCTAAAAAATAAAACAATGTTGTATATTATTTAGTCCCACAGGCCTCAATGAAACGTGCCCCATATTGTTTTTATTTCACCAATCACCACGCTGTGCATGTGTGTGTGTGTGTGTGTGTGTGTGTGTGTGTGTGTGTGTGTGTGTGTGTGTCTCTGTTGTTTTTTCTTTTTTTCATTATTTGACTGCGTTTCGATTTGTATTTGTGTGTGAAATGGATATGAAGTTCTCCACACTGATTGGCTGTCGCCGACTGGGCCCGTGTGGGTAGGCCTGAAATACCGACGGAAACAGTGACGGACTTTCTGTCGGTCTGATGGACTGACGCCCACCTCTACTTACAAATCTGCGAGATAGCAAGGTTCGACTGTGCTTGCAAACGGCAAATATTTTTTTTCTTTGTAACCTCTGCAATTGCATAATGGTGAGGTGCTCCAATGCAAAGCCCACATTGTGTACCTTGGCTTAAGAGAAGTGGTATAGAAAATGGATGGATGCATTCTTTTCTGGGAATTACAGATTTACATTGCTTGCAGTGTGAAATTGTTTTCTTTGAATAAATAATGTGGTGACTTTGAAAATGTAATGATTGAAGAAGGGTTTGGGTAATAGCAGGCATGCATCAGCTCTGAACAAAAGCCTAAAACACACTGCGCCAAATAAACATACAAGTATGCACACTTTGCAGGGCCAATAGTAGCACAGAAACATTCCTCCGTTAAAAGTGTCTACAAATTGGCGCTGTCACATCCACTGACTGAGGGATGAGATATTGCACTTGAAACCTTTCAGCCCGTGTGTGATATTGCTTCTTAGCCCGAAAGGCCTTCAATAAAAGTGGTGGAGAGTAGGTCACATTCTTGCTTGTATCCGACTGTCACTGTGTCTGTCAATACGTTGAGCGATGTGGCGACCTCTGTGGAAGGAGTCTTGAGACACGTTCCTCTCAGCTCTGCCAGTGGACCAACATTACATGGAGGCAAAGCAGAGGTTGCGCCTCTGGGGTAGTAGAATCAGCAAGACACTGATGGAGGCGCACAGCCGAGAGAATGCCTGTAAATGAATGGCAATAATTAGAGCTGCTATGTGTGGCTCCCAAGGTTCCTCAGCAGCAGCAGCAGCAGCAAATGGAAGTCCCATCTGATACATTGATCCTGTGGCCAGCTGAAGCACAGCGCAGTCATTTGAGCAGACATCTGCTTTTGTCGCCCTTTCACTGGTATTTTCTCTCTGGGTCTGGACGTCAGCCTGAATAAAAAAATAAAAATAAAAAAAAGCTTGTTGATGGTGTACATGTGGAAGCACATTAAAATTGTGATGAGAAAGAATGCGAGTGAACTGCAGATTCCCTTTAGACCTGCAGGGCTTGTCCGGGTCAGCAGTGTGTATGGAGGAGATAATATTCTGTTTATAGCTCAGAGTTATCATCTCTTTCTCTCTCTCTTCAACATGCCAATGCGTCCTCTCCCTCGATCCCCTCTTATTTCCCATCCTTCCATTGGCACTATTAAGATTTGAGAGCCTCATTTTATCCTTGCACATTTCTATTGTTCTTTATGTGGCTCAATCACATTTCTATTCGTACACTGAGCTCATTGAGGCCAAATACTCACATCCATTTGATTTTCTTTCATTGTTTAGCCGGCAGTCACCCACTTGATTTGTTTTGGATGTGAAGAAAACAAATGCAATTGAAAGGTTACTTGAAACAAAAACCATGGCGCATTGCATTCTCACCTGCTGTCTGTTTCCTTTTCTGTTTTCCAGCTAGAACAGATCCAGAAGCACACATGGTACATGTAAGTATCCCTTCATTTTTACTCCTTTTTCTTCTGCTGAAGTAGTTCTGCTGAGTGTAGCCATTCTGTGAGACATACTGTAAGGCATGTGCGGCAGGCTACATTGGAGCAGGCCATGACGCCCCTCTTGGGGCTGTGGGAGCAAATTGGTGGTGCTTGAAAAAGGAGATGGAGCAAATGCAGGCACTGGGGAGGGGAAGCAGCTGCTTGGCTGGAGGTGGGGACAGGTGTTCACTCACCTTAAGTTTAACAACACCTGCTTTGAAACACATTTTTTGAAACAAATTTCTGGTATTTGTAGCAGAGTAAGCTTCCATCTACAGCAGGGGTGCCCAAGTTCGGTCATCAAGAGCCCCCTACGCAACCTGTCTCCCTCGTCCAACATGTCTGAGTCAAATAATCAATTCATCAGCATCCTTATCATTTGAATCAGAGGTGTTGCAAGTAGGAGACATCTACTTTGTAAAACAGGCTGGATCGGGGCTCTCGATGACCGGACTTGGGCATTCCTTGATTGATAGTATTTTGTTTGATAACAGGAGAACTGCCAAGGTTTTTGATAAAATTGCCTTGCCATTCTTGGGCAAGCAAAGATGAATTACGGTCATCCGGATGAGCAGTATAGAAAACCGGATGAATAGATGGCTTGTGAGTTATTGTCCCTGTCAGAAAAAGTTCATGCAATCGCACAGTGGCTCTTAAGCAAAACAACAGAAATTGAGGATAAGCACCAAATGCAAATCAGCAGTAGTGAGCACATCAGTCTTTGCACAACTGAGGACAGCCCGTGTCTGACTTGAGCCTTACCAGCTACATGTGGTGCTGAATGAGCGCTCATTTACCCTACTGTGGATATTGATGGGACAGTATTTCCCCTTTTGAATTTTCCCACCGCTACCTGCAGACACTATGAGTCCCGTTTTTAACAAAGGGCAGTTACGTGATTTAAAGATGCGCTACATGTTGACATTTTTCATTCGTGTATTCATGAACTTATCCAATTATTGAATCATAAATCAGTCATCAATTCATAAAATGTAATTAATTAATTCCAGCTGGCTATTGACTGACGGCCTAAGTTGGCCACTCCCCCGCTAACGTTGCGTGACGAAGGAGCAGGGGCGTTTGCGTGGCATAAGTGGGTGTTACAGAAAGTCGTGATACGCGTGGTGATGTGTGAATGGGTGGGTGTTTACTTTATAGAGATCAGTGACACTGAACACTTAATTACCTCCAGGTTGGATTGTAAATGAGAAACTGTTCTGAATTGCCTTACCTGATTAAACAAAGCAAATCATTTATTATTTTATGTCTATTATCATTATTTCAAGAGGGGAACAAACTACTAACATATGGGAGGCATTCCAAAATGAGGTTCACAAAGAATTCATGAGCAGAGATGATTTTGTACAAAATCAACCCATGAAGCTTGCAAACTCAAAGCTCAGCTTTCCATAATGTTCACTCGAGTGAAAAATATTCACAAGTTGATGCAATATGAGGAAAATGCAAAATTCTAATGGGGTCAAAAGAAGGCCAAGATGGCTTAAAGGCACGTGAATGCTGAAGTTTGCTGAACCCATTGTGTGGTGCAATCTAACGAGGGTCTGTGTCTCGTATCGTTCTCACTATGCAAAGGTTATTAACCCCAGTTTTGTCAGTGTCAAAGAGGTATGTCCAACATTTGAACGTTCCAACTCATGTCATTGTGCCTTCTCAGAGGGGGTAAGAACGAGCCCGAGCCTGAGCAGCCTGTGCCGCGGAAGGTGACCATACGCAGTCTCCCGTCTGCAGACGACATCGACCCCGACGTCCTGGACAGTATGCACTCTCTGGGCTGCTTCAGAGACAAGAACAAACTGCTAAAAGACCTCCTCTCGGATGAGTGAGTGCACTTTCACACCCTAACTCAGGGTTAGAGGAAAATGGCAGAAAGAAATTGACAGACAAAAGGAAAGGGGGGTGATGGGGAAAAACAAAGTCCAACACCAAAAGCTATAGCTAGTTATTCACTCTTGATGTCAGAATCCAAGGATCACTTTGCTCTTACCACACAGTACTTACATCCCTTCCCACTTGATACCCCCCCCCACATCATGGAATGCAGACTGCATTATAAAAGCGTTCAAGGTTTACTTACACAAGTCATGTTCTGCTTGAAATGGTCGTAAAAATGGACATATACTGTGCAAAATAAATGAGTTTGTGATGCTTTTTATTCATTTCCCAATGAGCACAAACAATTTGGGACAGTCAGAATGTTGATGATGATTAGGATCACCAGTGGTTGAATTATTCTTAATTTAGCTATCATCTCATTGAGATGTATAAAAAAATTGCTTTGCAAGACTACATTTTATTTTTAATCATGCATCACATGTGAACAAACGTATTTGATTTTTTTAAGTGCAATTGTAGGAAAATGTTTCAAACTGAAGATAGAGCCGACAATATTGACATGCCAATGCCTTGTTCATTCAACACTCTAAATCCATGTCATGTATATTCGAGCATGAATAGCACTTTTTGTAAACGGAAGCACTTTATCCAGAGCAAATACAGTATCATAGTTGCAATACAGACCAAAAGAGTGCCATTTAATCATATCAAACCCATTTCCCCCAGAAGACCTCAAAGTCTATTTATTCTCGTCAGGCCTACACATTTGCATTGCTTTTAATAGAAAGTGATCGCTGCGTTAATGTGGCTTGAAGTCTTTGATGCACGCTGTCATACTCGTATCTAAAACATCATTAGCCTCGTGATACGTCCTCGATCCGATGAGGGACACCTCCCTCGCTCTCACCTGCATTATACACATACACCACACAACAGGGCACTGAGAAAATTTCTGTGTCCTTTGGAGTGCAGAACTTGAAAGTGTGGTGTTTATTTCTTCTCAAAATAACAGCGTTTAAAGTCCTGACCATTCCAAAAATATACGCCACGGACACAATTAACATGGAAGGAACATTACTATCAACCTTTTCCAAACACCTCCGTCCAATCTCCCAGGTGAATGCAGTAATAGTGCAGGACGGGGGGCGGGGGCTTATGTGCTGTCTGCGTTCCGTGCCCCTGCTTCATTTGAACTGAAAGTGCAGGTCCTCTTCTCTTCGCCTCCTGCTGCTCTGCAGCTGCTTTTATTATGGAAGGCCAAACTCTTGCTGCTCTACTTTGCGAAAACAAATGGCCCACAGGCAAAAAAGATACCTGATATTCCAATTCACTGAAAAAGACACTTTCCATCCGAACACACTTTCACATCCCTGCACTCCAACTCTGTCCTGTAATGACTCAGATTTGTTCTTGGTTTTGCTGTTCGGTGCTTTCTACCATCTTTGTTACCGATTTGTTGCTTTACTGTTGTATGTTAGTTGCTCCATGTACAGCACTTTGTATGCAGCGATGGCTGTCTGAAAGTGCTCTATAAATACAGTTGAGTTGAGTAATGTGTGTGTGTGTGTGTGTGTGTGTGTGTGTGTGTGTGTGTGTGTGTGTGTGT